AAGCCCTTGCCTTAAAAAAATTAGTTGATGAAATATTAGAAGCAGATGAAGAGACCCGTAAACGGTTGAAAATTCTTTTTGTAGAAGATGAAAATTACACACCTGCGATAATGATGAAAGATCCTGAAGAATTAAATGGTTTCAAGTATGATTATGAACAACTCGAAAATTCTGATGATCCTATTAAAGATATCTTAGCTAATCAATTGGGCCTTACTGAAGACCCAACTGACGAACAGATTAGAGATATCATTTTAAAACCTAAACGAAAACGGAAAGGTAAAACAAAATATTTCGGACAGATTGTTAGTGAAGATTTCGACGGTGATACGGCTATAGATGTGGAATTTGAAAAAGTACCCATCAAAGTAAAAAATAATTAAATTATTAGTTAATGGTCAACTAACTTTGATTAAAAAGGTTACTTTTTTTTAGTAACCTTTTCTCAGGATCCAGCCCTGATCCAAATCAACAAATTCCTTGTTGCTATAGGCTGAAACAGTCGTGAGGTTACCAAGTTACGTTACCTCTATATATATATATAAAAGGGAGTTTGGGGGTGAGGAGAGACAGCGAAGCGCTCATAAAACACACCCACCGCCCGCCCTTATAAGTTTTTAAAAGAATAGGAGACCTAAATGCACAAAAATACAAAATATTGGGCTTTTACGTGAGACACGAATGTGTATCAGAAAAAATTACCCAATGAAACTAAATTAAAAAAATTTTTAAATTTAATAACAGACTATTGCACATTTCAACTTGAATGTGGCACCATAAAAAATAAGAACCACTATCAGGGTGCGTTCGTTTTAAGTGGGGCGCGTGTTTCGAAAAAACAACTGTTAGAACAATTTCAAGAAATATTTAGTAACGTTAGTGGTTTAACGTTAAGTAAAACTTATGATTCAAAAGCAGCTATGAAATACGCGTCAAAAATTGATAGTAGCGTAAAAGGACCATTTTACGTGGGTCGGAAAGAAATTTTTAATGAAAAATAGGCAGCAATGACATTGTGACCATGGCAACAAGAATTGTATGATTTCATTTTAAAAAATAAAAATAACTCGGTCATACGAGAGCGTAAGATTATTTGGACTTACCTATACAGCCGTGGCCGTATAGGTAAATCCAAATTTCAAAAATAACTTCGTTTAGGTCAAAGAGATATAATAATATATATTGTAACGGATGTCTATTTGGTATACTAATACTAACCAAACGTTTTAGATATAAGAATGCCACAGGCCACACACATAGACGCACTGGCACATGTACCAGCTATAGGTATACACGAAACACATACAACTGTAGTGGCTGCAACCATCGAAGGCTTACTTTTTACAAACTTTAACCCGGTATTCAATACTTCCTTAGCTGCAAGACGACCTCCTTCTGAAGATACGACTTGTCCAGCCGCGTCAACAGGATCAATCGCAGAGGCTGAAGGCGTCATCAGACTAAATGTTAAAGCGGCCACACCCACTTTACCAAGATGATTTAGAAAGCGTTTTTTTTTAGCTTGTTTTTCAGTCATAAAATAATCTTTAAAAAATGTTTACTTTAATAATCAAAGTGAGTTTTCTGGCCTGCATCTTTCTCTTGTTTGACTCTCCTTATCAATTTTTGTTATTTTATCTAACTTAGTTAAATCTAAGTTAGATAAAATAGTATTATTAATCAATCGGACGCATCGATAAAACAGGCTCATTAGCACGATTAATACCTTTTTCGAAACCAGCAGCAGCCGCACGAGAACGACCTGAATGCCACCAGTGACCAATTAAAAAGAAAAATGCTAAAAAGAAATGTGAACAACATAACCATGAACGTGGTGATACGTAATTAACAGAGTTGATTTCTGTCGCTACTCCACCAACTGAGTTCAGTGAACCTAATGGAGCATGAGTCATATATTCTGCTGCACGACGTTCTTGCCATGGTTGAATATCATTTTTAATTTTATTGATATCTAAACCATTTGGACCACGTAATGGTTCAACCCATGGTGCACGTAAATCCCAGAATCGCATTGTTTCACCACCAAAAATAATTTCACCACTCGGAGACCGCATTAGATATTTACCTAAACCAGTTGGACCTTGCGCTGATGAAACATTAGCACCTAAACGTTGATCACGTACTAAGAATGTAAAGGCTTGAGATTGTGAAGCTTCAGGACCTGTTGGACCGTATAACTCACTTGGGTAAGCTGTATTATTATACCAAGAATATAATGATGCCGTCCAACCCATAAGCGAAATTGCTGCTAAACTGTAAGAAAGATATGCTTCACCAGACCATACAAAAGCACGACGTGCCCAAGCAAATGGTTTTGTGAAAATATGCCAAATTCCACCGGTAATACATAAAACACCTACCCAAATATGGCCACCAATTACATCTTCCATATTATTTACTGAAACTACCCAACCATCTCCACCAAATGGAGAACGGAATACATAGCCAAAAATAACGATTGGATTTAAAGTTGGTGTCGTAATATAACGAACATCTCCGCCACCTGGTGCCCATGTATCATAGATACCACCTAGATACATTGCTTTGAAAACTAATAAAAAAGCACCACAACCTAAAAGACATAAATGAATACCTAAGATTGTTGTCATTTTATTCTTATCACGCCAATCATATCCAAAAAATGGAAACGATTCTTCTAACGTATCTGGACCTAACAATGAGTGATAAATACCTCCAAAACCTAAAACTGCTGAAGAAATTAAGTGAAGTACACCTACAGCAAAATAAGGAACAGTACTAACAATTTCACCACCTGGACCAATTCCATAACCTAATGTAGCTAAATGTTGCATGCAGATAAAACCTTGTTCATACAAAGGTTTTTCTGGAACAAAATGAGATACTTCAAATAAAATCATTGCACCAGCCCAAAATACCATTAAACCAGCATGGGCTACGTGTGCACCTAATAATTTACCTGAAACATTAATTAAACGAGCATTTCCACTCCACCAAGCGAACCCAGTAGATTCGATATCACGGCCTGCTATACTACTATTAAAGGGCGTTTCCACGTGGTAATACCTCCTCAGGGAATACAAAGTTTTCATGCGGCTGATCTTGAGCGGCCATCCAAGCACGAATACCTTCGTTTAATAAAATATTTTTTGTATAAAATGTTTCAAATTCAGGATCTTCAGCTGCACGCAATTCTTGAGATACAAAATCGTATGCACGTAAGTTTAAAGCTAAACCAACAATACCAACTGCACTCGTCCATAGTCCGGTTACTGGTACAAATAACATAAAGAAATGTAACCAACGTTTATTTGAAAATGCTACACCAAAGATTTGTGACCAAAAACGATTAGCCGTTACCATTGAGTATGTTTCTTCTGATTGAGTTGGTGTAAAGGCACGGAATGTATTTGCTGCATCACCATCTTCAAATAATGTATTTTCTACTGTTGCACCATGGATAGCACATAATAAAGCTCCACCTAGAATACCAGCAACACCCATCATGTGGAATGGGTTTAATGTCCAATTATGGAAACCTTGTAAAAATAATAAGAAACGGAAAATTGCGGCTACACCAAAACTCGGTGCAAAAAACCAGCTCGCTTGTCCTAATGGATATAATAAAAAAACTGAAACAAATACAGCAATTGGTCCAGAAAATGCAATTGCATTGTAAGGACGGATACCCACTAAACGAGCAATTTCAAATTGACGTAAACAGAATCCGATTAAACCAAAAGCACCATGTAATGCAACAAACGCCCAAAGACCACCAATTTGACACCAACGTGTAAAATCACCTTGAGCTTCGGGACCCCATAAAAGTAATAATGAATGGCCCATACTATTTGCAGGTGTTGAAACTGCAGCTGTTAGGAAATTACATCCTTCAAGATATGAACTTGCTAAACCATGAGTATACCATGATGTTACAAATGTTGTACCTGTCATCCAACCACCTGCTGCTAAATAAGCAGTTGGGAATAATAATAAGCCTGACCAACCAACGAATACAAAACGGTCTTTTTTTAACCAATCGTCAATTAAATCAAATAAGCCACGTTCTTGGTTTTGCCCAATAGCAATGGTCATATTTTAATAATCCTTTAATTTAATTATTGTAAAGAGCAAACTTTAAGAAAAAATGTTACTCGAGTCTTGTCACCTTTTAATAAGTATTATATAACAATAATCTTAAAAATAATACAAATTAAAATATTACTAAAGTTAAATATTAGCTAATATCATCAATAGAAATGTATATAAAGAATAATGCCATACTTAAAGCTGGAAATACTAAACCAACCAATGGTACTAAAATTGCGGGTAAAAAAGTAGCTGTCATATTTTTATTTTATAAAATTATTTATTTACAACTTAATATTATAAATTGTATATGAAAATTAATAATAATAATTAATTTTCATATTAATCAAAAATTTCTCTACTTTTATAGTAAAATTAATATTATTAAATTTAATACTATTATAAAAATTTTAAAATATGTTAATTATGGACACCTTATTATTATCTCGTTTACCAGAATCATATGTTATTTTTAGCCCCATTATAGATGTATTACCAGTGATTCCTGTTTTCTTCTTATTATTAGCATTTGTTTGGCAGGCAGCTATTGGATTTAGATAATTTAAAAATTATAATCAACCCTAGTCAGTATATAATTATAATTAAACGTTTTTACGTTTTATTATTCAAATTTAATCAAAATATAAAAATGGTAGAACCGTTATTATCTGGAATAGTTTTAGGCATGATTACTGTATCGGCATTTGGTCTTTTCGTTGCAGCTTTTTTACAATATCGACGTGGTAATCAATTTGAAGTTTAAACGTATAAATCCTATAAATTTAGATTTATAGGATTTACAAATAATTTTTATAACTTATCATAAAATAAAAAACGTAGAAAATTATATTGACTATCGCACGTAACTTTAGTATAATTGTCTATAGGAATTTACTGTTTCTATTTATATTGCTGGTGTAGCTCAATGGTAGAGCAACGGATTTGTAATCCGTAGGTTGGGGGTTCAAATCCCTTCACCAGCTGATTATATTTTTTTATTACAGTACCATGTTCACAAATATAAAGGGGTTTGATTAAAATAGCACAAAAGATTTAAAATTGGGTTACCTGGGACTCGAACCCAGAACTATTCGGTTAAAAGCCGAGTACTCTACCATTGAGTTAGTAACCCATTCCATATTATTATTATTTTATCATGAAACTTTAAAAATAAGAAAGGAGTTCTTATTAAAAATTATTATTAGAAAATAATATTTTACTTTAGTAATTTTAAAGTAAAATTATAAATAACATTATTAGTTATTTTATTACTTAAAATTTTATTAAAAATTGATAAATAAGGATTTAAAAAATGATTAATTGGCAAATTATAGGACAATTATTATCAACAAGTATTATTATGTTAGCAGGTCCAGCAGTAATTGTTTTATTAGCTTTAAAAAAAGGTAATCTTTAATTTTACACATATCTTAATTTGATCGTCTATATAAAAATTTTTCAAAAATATTTATGATAACTGCTTTAACAGTTTTATTAGTGTTAGTTTCATTAGGTTTAGTTGTAACAGTTCCAGTAGCTTTAGCTACACCAGGTGAATGGGAGACTTCAAAAGATAATTTTACAAAAGTTTTCCAAGCTTGGATAAGTCTTGTAGTTTTAATTGCTGCTGCTGATGGTATTTCTTCTTCACTTTAGAAATTATAGTACAAACTATAATTTCTAAATATTTTAAACTCTTGACATTTTAAATTGGATCTTATATAATTAACTAAGAGTTAGTTTTAATCTGTTAGCGGGCATAGCTCAGTGGTAGAGCGCAACCTTGCCAAGGTTGATGTCGCGCGTTCGAATCGCGTTGCCCGCTTACTGAGAAAGATTTTAACTTATTTTTTTATACGACTAAAATTTTTGCCCCCATCGTCTAGTGGCCTAGGACAGCTCCCTTTCACGGAGCAGACAGGGATTCGAATTCCCTTGGGGGTAATACAATTTATATTTATTATTATTTGGGTAAATCTTGACAAATTTATAATTTTATATAGATCATGAAGAAAGGCTTTATTTTTAAAAACAAATTTTGTATAATTATAAAATATTGAAACTTTTAATACAACATATTAATAAAAAACTTTATGTTATATTTTTTTAGACTTTTACTTCTTTTAATTAACATAGACCAAAGGACAGTACTAGACTGGTTTGGTATTCGAGATATTAACCGTGGCAGTCAATTTTCTGGAGATAATGTTAATATTTTAGTTGATAAGACTAATGCTAGTTCTTTTATTCCTATAGAAACTTTAAAATTAATTCTAAAGGAAATTTGGGAGCGAGTTCAAGATGGTTTAACGTTAGCCGATATTGAAAATATTCTTTTTTTTATCCTTTTTGTCCGCTTTATTATTTTAACGATCCGTTATAATTTAAAAACTTCATTTATTATAACATTAATTGGACTCTTTGCTGGCTATCTATGGTATAGGCATTTAATTGATTTAATTTCTATGTATCGAAGTATTTTAATCAAGCTTCCATATTTATACAAATTAGGAATTGATGCTATTCAACTACGAACTATGAATAAACAAGTTGTCTTAACAGATTTAAAACTTGGTGATAATGTTCATTGGTATAATCCCGGCCAATTAATTTATTATGCGTTTACAAATGGTTTAAAAACACTAAATCAAGATATAGGCTTAAGTTATTATATTGACCCAATTTCTATGTTTATTTCCAAGTTAACGGAAGAAACTAAAAAAGATTTGTTACCAATTTATTATAAGATTTATAATAAAATTATTCCTCAATTTTTTGACGCTCTTAGTAAGTTTTGGAATCAGCTTTCTGGTATAGCAGCTTATGCTGTAATTACTCGTATAGGAAAACGTTATTGTCCTTATTTAGTTCGCTGGCATTGGACATTTTTATTAATTATTGGTTTTATTGAGCAAGTTCTTGTTTATTTTGTTTATCGAGTTGCGTACTTTCAAACAAATATTTTAATACCTCAAACACAATCACTAACTTATACTGCTCAAAATATTACTTTACAAGTAAATATCTTAAATAGTTTAATAGCTTTCATAATTTCTATGCATTTAAGCTTAATATTTTTTGGATTATTTCATGCAATTTGGGGTCAATATTTTTATTTCCCATTTATAGTTGAAAATACAGAACTTCATATTGGTCCACGACCAAAAAATAGTATTTATAGTGGCGGTAATACTGCCTGGCAAGATGAAAAAGAAAAAAATATGCAACGTTTAATACCAAAATTTTGGTATGGCTGGCTTGGAAAAGGAACTTCAACTAATAAAAACATTTTATTATTATGTTTTCGTTCGTTAAGAAGAAAAATGAAAAAGATTTGGAAAAAATAATCTTAATTTTGATCAGTTTTTTTATTGAGAAAACTGATCAAAATTAAATCTTATAAATTTATATTTATAATGAAGAACCTAAACCTGAATACGAACCGTAGATAAATAAAGAAAGCATTGTGATTACTGCTAACCCACCTACTAAACCTACAAGCCATAAAGGAATTCTACCCGTGTTTGCCATAAAAAAGCTCCTAGTACATAAATATTAATTGAAAAAATAACTTGAGAATAATACTGCTAAAACAAAAATTAATAAAAGTCCCCAGTAAAGAGAAGTTCGATTTAATTCTACTGCTTGTTTATTTGGATTTGGACCTGTCATAAAAAATTACCTCGTATATATCATATAAATTAGTTTATCGTTGAATGAATTGCATTGCAGTAATTCCTCCTAAAAAAAATACTGTAGGAACAGCTAATCCATGAACTGCTAACCAACGGAAAGTAAAAATTGGATAAGCTACAGGTTGATTAATATTTTTTGCCATGATTTTTTCCTTAAAATTATAAACCTTTAGTTAAATCTTCTAATTCTTGTTTTGCACTGAATCGATCATTTACTAATGGAATTTGTTGACGATCTTGTGTAAAATATTCATTCGGACGTGGAGTTCCAAAAACGTCATATGCAAGTCCAGTACTAACAAATAACCATCCTGCTACAAAAAGTGATGGGATTGTAATGCTGTGAATAATCCAATAACGTACACTTGTAATAATATCTGAAAACGGACGTTCGCCGGTAGATCCACCAGACATATTCTATATATTCCTTTATAAAAAAAGATTGTTGCTCAGTCATGTTTTAGTAAATTAGAATAAATCCTTAAAAGCGGGCAGGGGGAATCGAACCCCCATCATTAGCTTGGAAGGCTAAGGTTTTACCACTAAACTATGCCCGCATGATTATATTATAAAATTATACGGGTATAAAAAGCAATAAAATCTTACAAATTTTCTAATTTTAAATCCAGAAATTTTGCTAGACTCGCTGCTTGTTGTTCTAATTTTGAAATTGAAATTGGTTCTTGAACAGGTGTCAAAGGTATTTTTCGCTCATCTTTTAAACATAAATACATACTGCGTGTTGGATTTAAACCTTCAGTTATTTTTATTCCAATAGAACGAATATTTGTCAATGAATATGTCAATAAAATTTCACGATTTTTTCCAGGAAATCCTTTTCGAACAATCTTAACAAGATTTTCTATTTTATTGTATTCATTATACCCACTTCCAATATCTAAAATTACTGTAAGAAAAATATAAATGCTAATACCAAGACTTAGTGTACCGTAGAATAACATAACTAACCCTTGAGGAATAAAAACTAATTCTATTGGATTTGTAAACGGAAGAAAATTGATTTTAGAATAACTTGATAATCCTGCTAACAAGAATCCAAGACCGCCAAAAAACAAAGAAATTGCCCAGAAATAATTACTGAAGCGTCGTGAACCAACAATTCGATCTTGACGAATTTCACTTTGCATATAATCTAGTTTTATAAATATTAAATTAATTTAATTGATTTTAACCCTAAAAATAATCCTGATGTAAGTGCAAAACAAAAACCTACTAATAAAAAATAATCAATAGCTACTGTCATAAAATTTTTCTTATGTTATCAAAATGAAGTTTATAAAAATTTTTCTATATATTAATATATATTATATAGTAATCTATATAAAATTTTTGGTTAGTAAAAATTTTCACAAATTTTAACTTTCCTTATCTTTAACTCAAGTAAAAATTTTCTTATTAATTTAACTAATTTTTAAATTAACTTTATGGCTAATTTTATTAAACCTTATAATGATGATCCATTCGTGGGTCATTTAGCAACTCCAATTACATCATCAGCAGTTACAAGAGCAATTTTACAAAATTTACCCGCTTATCGATTTGGTTTAACTCCATTATTACGAGGGTTAGAAATTGGTTTAGCACATGGTTATTTTTTAATCGGTCCATTTGTCAAATTAGGCCCATTACGTGATTCTGATATTGGATTGCTTGCTGGTTTCCTTTCAACAATTGGATTAATCATTATTTTAACATTAGGTTTAACAGTTTATGGTGTTGTAGCTTTTGGTGAAGAAAAATCCGAAGCTGCCGATAATGATTTACAAACAAAGAAATCTTGGGATCAATTTAAAGGAGGATTTTTTGTCGGAGCATGTGGAAGTGCCAGTTTTGCTTTCATTTGTCTTTCAAGTATTCCAACCTTTACAACAAATTAATTTTTTATTACTATATAGTTATCAAACTACTTCAAATTAAGGTAGTTTGATACATAAAATTATTAAATTATAATCAGAATATATATGGCACCCATAAATTTGCAAGAAGAATACGCTAAAACAGAAATAGCGAAAATTCTAAATCTATTGGATGAAGAGTTGGTTGGTTTAGCGCCTGTAAAAGCTCGAATTCGTGAGATTGCAGCTTTATTATTAATTGATAAATTACGTAAAAATTTAGGGATTTCTTCTGCAAATCCAGGTTTACACATGTCATTTACTGGAAGTCCAGGAACGGGGAAAACAACTGTTGGTTTAAAAATGGCTGATATTTTATATCAACTTGGTTATATTAAAAAAGGTCATTTATTAACTGTTACTCGTGATGACTT